GCCTGGGCCCGACCTCTTGCCACGCCGCGCCTGGCTCGCCGTGGGCGCGCCCCTGGACCTGCTGGAGGACCTTGCCTGGCATCTCCGCTCAAACCCTGACTTCACCCACGACCTGAACGACTCTGACTACGCGTTCTTGCCGAAGGGCGACAACCTCACAGGCGTACTCACCACGGACCGCCTACCTGAGGGCACACGCCCGCTGTCTCTCAAGTACACAGATACCAAGGCCATCGCAAGCGCGGCCAACTTCTTCATCAAATCCGCTGTGGCAGAGCGGACTCATTGCCCGCAGCAAGGCTTTGTCGTGGGCCGCAATCTCACCAAGCACATCGCCAACCGCGACGCAGAGATGCGCCGCGCTGGAGTCCGCCCAGAGCCCGACAAGCACAAGCCCGTCTCAACCAGCTTTGACTTCGCGGCTGCTCCTCCGTCGCTCGGCAGCGGCTGGCTCTTCGCGCCGCTGGAGCGCTTCAGCGTCCCTGAGGGCCTGATGAGCCTCTTTCGCCAGCTGTGCCACGCCCCCAACAGCTTCCTCAAAGTAAATGGCGTTCGCCACTTCATGTTACTGATCGAGTCTGGCGTGGATCAGGGCTGCCCTGCGAGCGGCTCGGCATGGGCGTTCGCCATGGGCCCGCTCGTTCGCCACATCGCCTCGTTCGTCGAGACCGTCAACAGCATACCTGACTACGAAAAAGGGCTACCTGGGCGTCAGCGCGGACGGCACTGGCCTCCTCGCGTTCTCATTCAACACGCTGCGCGCCGACGCTGAGCCCTTTGCCGCCGCACAGGAGCTTGCGCTCCTCTCCTTGAAGCCCCGCAAGTGTGTCGCCGCCCCGCTTTGGGCGAATACTTTACAGCTCGCGCAGAGTGGCAGCGATGCCACCGTTCGCCTTCGCTGCACCTCAGTCGTTTCAACGCTCAGCTATGTCTCGCAGATCGTTCTGCTCGATCAGACAATCGCCCGCCGTGAACATTACATTTTCCACTAGATGCCCAGTCTCCCGCCTAACACATTTCGCAACGTAGATCTCATTGCCATGGCGGAATGGTGCCCGCCTCCTGCCCCGCGTTCGGCTCAGATTTCAGCTGTCGCCGCCGCCATTCGATCAGCCACTCTCACGCTCCGTGGGGAATGGGAACCATTCTTCACTGCCGCCCCGTTTCCAGCAGCTGCCGAAGCCGCGGCGAACAGCGCAGCTGCCCGCGAAATTCACGAGGCCCCAAGTGCTGAGCCACCGCGCCGCCCCAAGGTGCAGCGCGCGGTCGCGCTCACGCTGCAGCGGGCCTCCCCCTCATCGCCCTTCACAGTCTCGCTCGAGAAGCGTATCGCAGCCTGGGGCGTTTCGCAGCCGCCTCCGCCCCCAGAGCTTGCTACGCGATGCGCTGCTCTCACGAATGCCATGCGCACCGTCCGCCCGAGCTGGCGCTGGGCGGTGCATAAGACACCCGCAGGTGGATGGTCGACGACCCACCGCATGCACGCTCTCCTGCAGAAGTCGCGTGTGTTCGGGCGCCCAGCAGCGCCCGATTCATTCCCTCACTACCTCTCCTGCTCGGTCCTCCTGAGCTTCTTCTGGTCCCCCGGCCCGCCCCCCCTCCACAGCGCGCTTACACCCTGGGGCATGGGCCCCGACGCAGCCTATCCGTCTGAACCTGCGAACGAGCTTTCGTCAACGTGGACGATTCAGCGGATTACGCTCGCCTTTCACCTCTTCAACAAAATGAAGCACCCTCGCCGACCCCAGCTACGACAGCTGAAGGGTTGAGCGCCGTCAAAGCATTGCTCTGGAAGTAGGCGCGCGGTAGACGGACAGGAGCGGACAGACTTTTTGCCCTCGTCTTGCTTCTTGCCCGCTTGCCCTCGTCTCTTCCTCTTTGGGTACGTGCACTCCTCCTCCTCCTCCTCCTCCTCCTCCTCCCCCACCTCCTCCTCCTCCTCCTCCTCCTCCTCCTCCTCCTCCTCCTCCTCCTCCTTCTCCTCCTATTCATCCTCCTTCTTCCCACTCCCTCATCCATCCATCCATCCACCTCCCCCTTCTCTTCCTCACTCCTTTACACGGTTCGGCCGTCCTCCTCTTTGCTGCCGCATTTCCCTGATTACCTCAGCTCGTCTGGACATCGTTTCTGGATGGGCTGGTGGGGATACTTTTTGCGTCGCGACCGCAGGCGAGAGCGCCAGCAGCGAGTATGACTGGTGGGGAGACGCGAAGCTTCTAGACTTACGTGCTCGATCAGTTCAAAGACTTGAAGAGCATCACGCGCATCAGAACAGGCAGAAAGCGGATTCTCAGCACGCACATGACAGACAGAAGCGGCGCCAAACGCACGACATGACAAGACATGTTTGACGTTTTCGCCGAATTCGACGAGCACCTTTTACGATTTAACGGCAGAGACGACGCAGCTGGAGCGACCTAACACCGACCTCCCATATTTCACAAGAACAGGGTTAGACAATGCGATCAGAGGGCTCCGCCCTGGCAAAGCCACCGGCAACAAAGGCCTCCGATCAGAAATGCTGAAAGAAGGCGCGGAGGAATTCAAAGAGGCATTGCTACACCTCTACAACACGATCCTGCAATCCAGCGCTCGCCCAGTGGCCAGCTGGAAGAGCACAGTTGTCGCGGTAATTCCAAAAAGCAGGGGTCTCACGCTTCCTCACAACTACCGCCCTATATGCACGATGCCGCTGTTTTATAAGCTCTTCAGCAGGCTACTTTACAACCGACTCCAACCAGCATTCGACTCACGACAGACAACTGACCAAGCAGGCTTCAGACCAGGATATTCGACCATCAACCACCTTTTCACATTTCGCATTCAGAGGGCGTGCGCACGAATGGAACCCGAACTTGTGGGTTGCAGCGCTCGGCTTTAAAAAGGTTTTCGGCACGGTCGAACACGAGATCATATGGCATATGGGCAGCACTCAAGGCGCAATGTGTCCAGCCATGATACACTTTTCTATTCCAGCAGTTGTGCGAGGGACAGGAAGCCACAGTCAAGACGGACGTAACCAGCCGGCCCTTCAGCCTTTTTTTTACGGGGCACGAAACAAATGGACCTTCTCAGATCCCTTCTCTTTAACGCTCTTCTACAACACATTCTCGAACCCCTGATCACCGAATGGCAAAATAATGTCAAGGATGTTCAGCTGGGGCTTACCACCGCCACCACACTCACCAACCTGAATCGCCGACGACGTGCTTTTGACCAGCTAGACTCTTCCTCGTCTCACCACGATGCTCGAAGACATTGTGCGCGCAGCGCAACCGCATGGACTCGACCTGCACCCTTCCAAAACCAAGATGCTGAGCAACCAGACGAGACGGACCGACAGGGCGAATTCGCGCACGGCGGCACGGCGCGCGTTGAGGCATGGACATAGACATCTTGCCATGCGAGGGCTGCATAAAATACCTCGGTCAACTCATCGTCTTCCAGGACGCGATGGAGACAGAGATCCACCACCGCACGAGAGCCGCATGGACATCTTTCACCTCGCGCAAACAGGAGCTGACCAGCAAACGCTACCCGTTGGCGCACAGGCTGCGGCTTTTCAGTAGCACAGTAACGCCGACGGCGTTGTACGGAGCAGAGACCTGGACGCTCGCGGAACCTCTCCGGCAACACCTGCGACGAACGCAGCGACGCATGCTCCGCATGGTCATCATAACGACACGGCGACGCACTACTCATTGCACAGTCTCTCACAATAGCCAGTCGGCATGGACGACGGCCCGACCAACGAAACACCTGACGACGATCCCAGTGCAACAGACAACACCGACGACGCAAACAGCCACGCAGCACAGCAAGACGATACAGACTGGCACAGTGAAAGCAACGACGACGGCGGCGACGACAGCGAGGACACGCTACAGCCCTGGGTTGAGTACATTCAGCAAGCAACACGGTGCGCAGAGCAGGTCATGCAGCACCACCAAGTCGCAAGCTGGGAGACGATTCGCAGACAGAGGTCGTGGCGCATGGCGTCGAGGGTTGCTAACCATGTCTTCACCAGATGGAAGTTGCGTGCGCCCCATTGGCAACCAGGAAAGAATTCACGCCAACGCGGACAGCGACAGCAACGCGGCCAGCGCCAACGCTGGGAGGACGACGTCGTCAAGTTCCTCCAACAGCAGCCCCGGCCAGCATCCAACGCTCACGCCGACTACAAAAGGCCAACCAAACGACTTCACCTGGATTCGCACGGCTCAAGACATCCCCACGTGGTCGACACTCGAATTGCAACACGGACACCCCACGTGACGACAGTACGCCGACATCCACATCCAGGACGTCCTCCCCTTCTTCCCCTGCTCCGTCATGGCGTTTTACTGCCTCGCTAATCATATGCGTGCTTGTGTGGAGTACGCACGTACAAGTTTCAGGAGGCCACGGCCTCCCCACCAGGTCTGGAGTAGGCCCGGACAGGTGTCCGCAGTGGTGGTTCGTTCGCTCGTTCGTTGAACCCGTGACGTGCGTTACGGGGGGGTCGTCGTCGTCGGTTGTCAACGTCGTCGTCGTCGTCGTCCTTGATATCGTACTCATCGTCGTTGTCTTCATCGTCGTCGTCATTTCCGTCCTCGTCCTTGTCGTCTTCGTCGTTGTCGTCGTCGTCGTCGTCCTTGCTCACGTAGTGACGCAGTGGTCGTCGTCCTCGTCCTCGTCATTGTCGTTATCGTCCGTGCTGTCGTCCTCGTCCTCGTCGTGGACGTCCCCGTCGTCGTCCCTGTCCTCAACCTTGTCGTCGTCGTCGTAGTCGTTGTCCTCGTCGTCGTCGTTTTCGTCGGCGTCCTCGTGTTCGTCGGCGTCCTCGTGCTCTCCGTCGTCGTCGTCGTCATCGCTGTCGTCGTCCTGTCGCGCGGAACGCGCCAGGGGGGCCCAGTGTTGATTCAAGTGTTTCGTTTGTTGCCACGACAAGTCATGCTTGTGCAGCTTGCTGCCCCTCTTCTATACATACCCCGCCCTTCCCTCCCTCGCGCCCCCGCGAG